CCCGCCAAGTGGCACATCCCGCAGCACAACCTGCCCAACGGTACGTCCCTCCCGCTCGCCGACGACGACGGCCCCGCGTTCGCCGGCCGAGTGGCGTAGAGTATTTGTTGTACAGGTTGTTGTGAGGTTGTTTGTACAGGTTGACAACTGAAGTAGTCGTGTCGCGAGTCGGACCTGAAACGCCGCCGTGACCGTGCCGCTTCTTATCCTCGGTAGCATCACGAAAATGCTCGGCTACGAGCCCGATTGCCGCTTCTAATAGTTATTTGTTCGCGAGGAGCCCAAGATTGAAGCGCGAGGGAAGCGAGTGGGCCAAAAATAAAATCCTGAGCGTAGCGAGGGTTCCAAGTCACGAGACGCAAAATAACTTCGCTACCGAGTGAAACAAACACCCTTTTCATCTCACTATAGCGGAGAAAATGATAGATAAGAAAGGAAAACAGTTGAACTATAACAAAATCAGTTATAGTTGCCAATTTATTGTCAGCAATAATAAGAATGAAATAGACCAACGGATTTATATTACATAAATAATGTACAACAAATTGTGATAAACGCAGTTAAACGTGTCATTATGTTTTTTTTTTTCACCGAAAGACAAAGTTAGGTGCACCACAGTTCATCGACAAGTTCGAACTTCAAAAACGTTTTCCACGCTATTTGCGCGCAGATTTGTAATGAGAAAGAAAGCCTTTCCGTGGTAGTGAGGTGAAATTGTACATTACTGCAGAGGCAGAGAAGTAAGGGATTGCTGAACAAGTTTATTAAAGACGAATCAAGCAATCTCCGTTCCCGCCGAGGCTTGTATAGTGCTTTTCTCGGGGTGTCCGTCAGGACTGGACCAAACGAGATGTACAAATCACACTGCTCATTATTCACTACCTATTTTCTACTATTTAATACTTTTATTGACATATTTTCTACCTTTGCGCCATAGATAACCTCCTAACAAATGCCACCTGTTGAAAATTTTGTACTGAACCAAGCTCACCAAATTCGGAGGAAGGCAAGAGACGCGGGGAATGCAATTAAGACGTTCTGATTCGCTAGTTCATGGTCGAACTAGAAATGCACTCAAATTGCACTTACAGCTAGTGATGGCAATCTTTATCAGTCTGCATCCAATTAGTCAATAAAAACGATAATATTGTAAAACAAATTATTAAAGTCTTCCATGCTGATCTGGAAGCAAAAGAAAAGCATAGAATGTATTAGCTACTTATGATTTCGCGCAAATCGTAAAAGCCGACTGAGGGCCTGGGTTTTAATGATGTCCTATATGTAGGCGACATGCTGGCAATCTACCTATTTAGTGTACTAAGTTACACTAACATTTTAATAAAAACGTTTGCTAATCGTGGCTAAAGTGGGTTTGTCTTACTCAAAGCTAGGGAGACAGGCGTGACGGTAGTATGTATGTAAATTATTGAATGACTTACGACAGCAGGATTGTATTTAGATACCGGAAAAAAGGAATTGTAAGAAAACAAGGTACTTAAGTATTATAAGTTGTCGTATTTACAAAAGCATGACTAATGAAATTATTATGGCGTTAAGTATGTATAACGTCATAATTGAAGGTTTAGGTCATACAATATAAGGTGATAAGTTAAAACATACATTTGTTATTCATTGTATTACGTTACAAGTATAACTATTAATATAATCAAAGATGACAAAATAATATATTACCAAAAATAATTTATGTAACCAATTTCACACGAAATCGAACAATAATAAACAGTAAGTGTTATCTATAAACGTAGTTAAAAAAGTAATATACTAGTAATATTTATTATATTGATTAAGATGACGATCTCAAATCTTCCCAACCCTAGTGTTACACGTGTCTTCGACAAAAAGAGACGCTTAATTATAAGATCATAATAAAAGAAAGATACCTGTCCGAAAGACATCAACGAGATATCAGTTTCCTTTGTAGTTGTTTAGAATTAGCCATTTTAATTTCACCTATGCGAAACTTGTAAATAACGTAGTTATAACTTACCGGTGAAAGGTGATTCCATCTCTTTGACAGTTTGAGGTCTTGGATGTTTTTCCACGCCATTTCACGGCACAGATAGTCTTTTAATTAAAGAAATGAAGTAGCCAGCCATTCTGACGTCAGGTTGGCTGGACCACTCTGGATATTTAACTGCCTCCGTGGCCGAACGGTTGCCACGCAGAGGTTCTGGATTCGATTCCCAGGCCCGGAGAAATATTTGTATGGGATACATTTAGTTCTGTCGTGAGTTTGTGTGTTACGCCCAGTAATTTGTGGTTGTCTATGTGTGTCGGAATGGTTGGCCACTTTAGTTCTTTAATATTTCCGTTAGCGCAAAGGTATGTCAAAAATATGTCAATAAAGGTACTAAATAGTAGAAAATAATGTAAAGCACAGTTTGATTTGTATAACTCGTTTGGTCCAGCCATCCTGATTGACACCCAAAGAGAGGAAGATGTATAAGAAAAAAAACATTAAAAGTAATAATAATATATATTATTTTAAAATAAGATATATTGTTACATATTAGTAGTCTATAGTAGTCTGCTGAACTTCACATGATGTGGTTCACGCAAAGTTTCCTAAGTTTTCATGTATCTTACTTTGCTCGTAGCCAGGAACAAGTTTTCCATGGCTAATATTATCTCTTGTTTTAAATTAAGCGGAGCACAATCAATTACTATATTTCCGTTACCGCTCTTCTCACTAAAACTATTTTTTTCGACGAAAATACAGAAGGGCGAAAAAACAGAAAAAACTACATACCCAAAGTACTTTAGTTTATTTTACCGCCTTTTCTTTTTAAAAAATGTAAGCAGTACAGGTAGGTGTTTTTAATTCTCGCTGTCACGAACACTGAGCAGTTGGCTGTATGAATTTTTCTTTTGCTTGTTTACGTATTTGAAGACTATTTCTCAAAATTTTTGTACATTTACAAAAAAGGGGTGTGCCCCGAAATAGTACACAGAAATCCTATGTTGTTATTCAGTCATACAAAAATAAATAGGAACATTTTAAAGAAAAACACGTTAGTTTTTTATACTACGAATAACGAACAGTGTAATCTTATTATTTCATTAATTATTTTAACTTTTTCGTAACAATAACTTTTCACACTTCATACAAAAATAAAATTACTCCTTACCTCAAGTGTTTGTCACTTCATAAAATACGAAATGTCACAATAATAAGGTGCACGTATTTGTATTACAGACCTTGATTGAATTTAGTTTCTGTATTAACCTTCCGTTGGTCGCACTCTTGCGCCGAACATAAGCAGTCGCGTGCGGTCTGTGAGACCGCAACTTTACGCGTTTGGTTTGAGAAGACAAAATGAATATTTTCATGACGACGTTATGTGACACATGATAAAACTTTTTTTTTTTAATTTTTACTTATTAGTTTAAGTCTACAAAAATACAAAATTTTAGTCATAATGACAAAAAACAACGTTAAAAATCAACAAAATAAAACAAGACGAAATTTTGTATCTTAGTCGTTAACAGGCACACTATAAAATTATTACCAAGATCAATCAAAATTATCATAATAATCATTTTAAATTATCATATAATACAATTTTTTGGAACACGACCGGTCGCGCATAGAATTTGAGACCGCAAACACAAATAAAGACACATGTGCGCTTGTAATGAATGTTGCAGGGCTACTAAGCGGAAGTACCTCAATCCCTCGAGGATATCAAGGTCGCACAATGGTCTATTGTTTATAGTTTTTGTTTAATGACTAAAATAAGGTCGCTGCGGTCTTTGAGACCGCGCGCTACCGCTGGAAGGTTAAAGGATTTAATATGTGGTATCATAGTAAAAATTTAAGTAATATGCCCAAAATGAGTCATACCAATTTACTTTTCTTTCGTTACGCTTAATTTCCACTTTCACTTAATTTCCGAATTCATCCGTTAGATTTTTGCATGGGCACCACTAGTATCATCCTTATTGGCTGTTGGTTTGGCGTCCTCGGCCATATTTTTCATGACAATCAGTCCAAACGTGATGGTTAATACATTCGTAACGTTAATAGTAAAGAACTTTTTCATGATAAGCTGAGTCTTGATTTATTTATCCCTTCGTAATACATGTAAAATAAGCGTATTACGTTTGTAATATCAGGTTATAACAAACCATTGGCATTTAATAACTCGATTATGATCATTTTGTACTATTATTTCGTAACATTTTTATGCATTTTTATTACATAACGGGATAAAGCTGAGTGTACACAGTTATTACCCGACTTCGACAATGCTAAAAAGAATGAGTTTGGCATTAGGCAGATATGTCAATATAGCGCATAAATTATTGTAATTCTGATAAGTTGTAAGTATATAACGAAATAGCATTTATCTAACAAATAGTTGGCATTTTAAAAAAGTCCCCTTTCAAGGTCGCATAATCGATCAATTGACCCAAACTATAATTTTCTTTTTTAGGAATGACTCCAAAAACAAATTGAATTACTTCAGATATTTGAACTTCCTATGGAATAGATGCTGATGAACGATGAAGATAGTATCTACCTTTAAATGTTTAAGTACCAATTGCGTTAATTATGATTAGAGCATAATTTTGTGATTTAAGTAAGAAACCTAACTGTATTTTCAAAAATAATATTAGTTTTAAAATAAAAATATATTTCAATATTATTTATTATTTGCTTTTTACCATATTCATTGATTTATTGCCATCTATTGCTACTATTGCTTAATGCCATAGTGATTAAATTAATTATATTTTGCCAATGTTATAATAGGCTTAATGTTAAAATTGTTTGTAGTATTTCGTAACATGCTTTTCGTTACGTGCAATTATTTTGAGAAATAGTCATTAGTACTACATAGATTTAAAAGTTTAGAGAAGTGGACAGTAACGGATTTTCACACATATTTTGCAGGCCTTGGCCGGGAAGAAGTCGCACGATCCATAAATGACAAACTTTTCGTGTTCGTTTTTAAAAAGTAATCCGAGCGTGTTCAATGAGAAAAAGTAGTATTCCTGCTCCTACGATTTGGTCCGTTTTCGAAGTCCAATAATGACGGGCGCATTTCGGCAGGAGGCTTGGAGGGCGTGTCGGGCAGCGGCGGCGGCGTGGAGTACAAGATCACGCTGGGCCGGCCGCAGGGCGCGGCGCCGGCGCTCGCCAGGCCGCTGGTCTCCTCCACCAACCCCAAGACGCCCAGCCCCAGCCTCAACGTAGGGCCCTGACGCCGGCGGCGGTGCACGAGCCGTCCCGCCGCACAGTGGGCCCAAATTGATAATTCTTGGACATAGGAATAATTTGTGGAGTATCGAGCTAATTATTTTTTATGTGATATAGATAATAACATTCTTAACAACTTTTATTCTTGTATAATTTCTTGAAAAGTTGATAGTTTCGGAGAAAATCTTTTTTTTTTTAATGGAGAAATATACATTTTATTTTTTATCTTAAAATATACAAAAATGTAATGTGCGTTCCAAACATTTTCTATGTAGAAACAATAATCCGTCGGCATATACTTGCGGCTTAGTAAGTAAATGTGCGGCAAAATTGCTAACGCTTTTATGTGCGTTTTTAACAAAATACAATAAAATACATGAGCTACGATTAAAGAAAAATTAATTTTAGAGAATGTTGTAACAATAGTACGAAAGTTAAGTAGGAACTAGTATATTGCGTTAAAAAATAAATAACAAATCTAAAATGTTGCCATCTTTTTACTCCAAAAGTCGCAACTACCTGCAGATGGATTTTTTTTTTCTTGATAGAGAATGATTGGACCTCTATCAATAAATAATGGTCAATAAACCACACACATTATATTTTCCTACATTTCGAGATAAAAAATAAAATATTTATTTCTCCAAACAAAAAATCTAAAAATTTTATTCTCTGAAACAATCAGCTTTTGAAGAAATTACATAAGAACAAAAGTTATCAGGAATGTTATTATTTATCATATGAAAAAAATCAGCTCTTAAAATATCTCCATACAAAAAAAAATTCTCTGAAACTGTCAACTTTTAAAGAAATCATACAAGAATAAAAGTTCACATAAAAAATAGCTCGATACTCCACAACTTATTCCTATGTCCAAGAATTATCAATTTGGGCTCGCTGAGCTCCGGCGCGACTCTGACCGCCTCTCCCCGCAGGGTGCGGGCGCCGGCCTGGAGCTGGACAAGCTGTGCGCCGAGTCGGTGCAGGACCTCATGGCCACCATCGCCAAGCTGGACTCCAACGGCGTGCAGGTGGTGGCCGAGCAGCCCTCCGCGCCCTCCGTGCCCCCGTCGCCCGCGCCGCACGTGCACTCGTCCACCGACGCCGACCTCGCGCACGGTGCGGCCCCCGCCCCCGCGGCCCCCTCGCCCCGCCCCGCCCGCTGACCGCGGCTTCTGCGCAGGCAAGGCGGCGGCGCTGGCGCTGGCGGGCGGCGCCGGCGACCCCAACGAGGACTGGTGCGCCGTGTGCATGGACGGCGGGGAGCTCATGTGCTGCGACAAGTGCCCCAAGGTGTTCCACCAGTACTGCCACATCCCCACCATCGAGAAGCTGCCCGAGTGAGTGTCGCGCCGCCTCCGCGGCACGCGCGGCTCTCGCGGCGGTACTGACGTGTCCGTGCCCGGCAGCGAGACGGAGACGTGGCAGTGCCTGCTGTGCGTGAACTTCGCGGAGCTGCCCGAGGAGGAGCCGGCGGCGGGCGGCGCGCTGACGGCCCGCCAGCAGAAGCTGATGGAGCGCGTGACGCTGGAGCTGTACTGCCAGTACGAGCTGTCGCTGCCGCTGCGCGAGGCGGCGCCCGACCGCGCCGGCCTGGACGCCATCCGCGCGCGTCTGCAGCCCAACGCGCCGCAGCGCTACCGCCACGTGCACGCCTTCGTGGCCGACTGCCGGCAGCTCTTCCGCGCCGCCTGCCGGCGCTTCCCGGTACGCGCCCCGCCGCCCCCTCCCGCCCCCGCGCCCCTCCCGCCGCCGCACTCACCCCGCGTCCTGCTCCGCAGCCCGAGTCGCAGATGTACAAGGACACCAAGCGGCTGGAGGAGTTCTTCGACCTGCAGCTGGCCAAGTGGCTGCCCGAGTTCGCCTTCTGGAGCGGCGAGGGCGAGCCGCCCGCCAAGCGCCCGCGCGTCGACTGATCGGCCGCCGGCCCGCCCCGAGTTGCCGCTCCTGCTATCGCTCGCCCTGCGCTGCGAGGCCTCTCCCGACACGCGCCGATTCAACGCGGCATAGGTTCACTTTCACCGGAACATTTTCGACGAACCGAATGTTTGCACCGAAACCGGCAGGCGTACGGTGGTGTACCGCCCGGCCTTTATTTATTGTCGTTGTACGAAGGAAACGTAATATGAATGGTAAATGTTAGTTGTGTGACGTTGGTGTTTGTATAATGATTAAATTGAATAATCGCACTCCGCTAGACCGACGCGGTCGCGCTTCGGTCGCCTATGTTAGCGATCTTCTGTGATATCGTCGCCCCCTGCGTACGCGCAGACGCGCTCCTCACGATTACGCGTAATTTTGTAGGTATTGATAATTAAGCTCTTCTTATTTTAAGTTTTCCTACCGAGCACCGCGGTCCCCGCCAGGACAGTCCGGCGAGTCGGGCCGCGGCGCGACAGGATTATGTGGCGTTTTTTTCTTTCGGTGTTCATATTTTTATATCAATTAATTTAATTTAAGAAATTATGCTACATTTTTTTGTGACTGCCCGTATCACGTTTATGTTAAGTTTTAGATTTGTATTAGAAACGAATATCTCTACCTTCTAGTGGTAAAAATTAAATTCAATGTTCCATGTGTGTATTAAATATTTTATAATTTTTCTATTTTTAAGTTACAGACAAACGCAAATACTCGTTTGTAAAGAAAGATCTACACTACTGTATTTTTTAAAGTAAGTCTTCTTTGTTGCATTTGCCCTCTTGAACCGCGCGCGGTACGGAGGAATCCAAACTGATGTCAATTTGATTCGATTGGCCCGCTTGCCACTCGAACAGACACTGGCCCGAGCCTATTGTAGTGCCGCCATTAAAGAAATAATAACAACTGACGTAAGAGCCCGTGCACACGGCGTATTTTATACGCACCGACGACGCGCATTTCACGAAACATCGCGTCATCTGCGCTGTAGTGAATCGAGTCGCACGCGCGCAAACATCGCGTTGCAAGCAAGAACCTTATAAATATACTCCACCGGAGTTTACAGTTGGAATTTCATCTAGTTGCTTCATTTAAAAAAACTAACTGAAATTAACAAACAGAAGTAAACTTAAAACTATCTTTTATTAAAATGAGCGATACAGCTACAGCGCGTCTGCGGTGCATCGTCGTCGTCGTTCGGCGCGTATAAAATACGCCGTGTGCATAGGCTCCAAGGTGGGGAGTTTCAATCCACAAATGAAGCTGCAATTGTTACTTACAAATAGTTCATTATTTTAACAATTTTGGTGATTGCAGCGATTAGCGGAGAATCACAAACGAGTCAGACTCGTCTTAGCATAATGATTGATTGATTGTATGTATAGTGCGGTACGTATCTGAATCCTGATGTTTTAATTAGACAATCTCTTTATGAGTATTATTATTATACATTAGAAATAAAATATCATTTATTGGATTACAACTTGTTTTATTGTATGGAGATTTAATTTCCTTAACTTTTTTTGTAGCAAAATTTTTTACAATAGTTTGAAACGCATACCGCCAGTTTTACTAAAAGGTAGAATTTGCGCTAATGTGGCAGGCAGCGGCCGCGATTGGGCTGTTCTGTCATCGAGCTGTCAAGTAAGCGGCCTCCGCTCGCGCATGAACTCGTGCCGCTGCAGTCGGCTGTTATCACGTAAAAAATCGACAATGAATCATTAACGCGTCGTGTTTCGGCGACACTGAACGTCGTCACCACTTTTTTGTTGCCAACTCAATACGCCTACTGCATACTGAACAATAATAAAGTGCCGCGCATTATCAATACGAGACTTCAAGAGGTGAGTGACCGCTTAGAGGTTAACGACCCGCCAAAATGTAATGTCGAACTTGGTAGATCGGTTGATGGCACATCATAGTAGGTAGGTATTGTACATTTTATGTGCAAGTGCCATTTGTCACTTACGACGGCATTGAGATTCCGTTCTATTCTGTCAACTCGACGAACAAAAAATACTGCAAAAATAATAGGTGTGATATGCCTGAGCAAATAAATTATCGTTGTCAGGGACGTTACAACCGCTAAGCGTCAACTATAAACGACAAGCTCCAGCCAGTGCACTTGATTGATGAAAAATAATCTGCGATAATAGTACCAGTGTCTAAAATTAATATTTAGGTATGTCCATACATACATGATTTGATAAACTAACAATGTTTGCGCTTTCGTCGTTAGTCGGCCCGAGAAAACAAAACCATTCTCCGTTTGCAGAGGTCTTTGACCTTTTATCTCTGAATGATTGCTCAATTATTTAAATAAATAGTCAACTGTGTAGTGACTTGTTATGTTTTCGCTTCATCAAGTGAATTAGAGCGGTTACACACGGCGACTTTTAGCAGCGACACAAACGCGCGTTTGTGAAACCCGCGATTGCAACGCGTCACTTGCGATTGATGCCTGTGAAGTAGCAACGATACAAACGTGCTACTCTATCGACGCAGTTGCTAATGTTGAATCATTAAAAACGTGCATCGCGTTTATATTGCTGCTCACTTCACGCATGTATGTAAAGGTAGACGATTAGAGACTGCATCGCGACTGGATCGGTGCAGACGCGCTGCTAAAAATCGCCGTGTGTAACAGCTCTTAATGTTATACATAGTGCAAGCAACATTCACAATTATGATTGTTCAGTGCATTGGTCATTTTCTTAAAGAATTTATGTTGTAGATGTAGGTACATATATGATGTAACACAACGAGTCCAAACATACTTCACTATACAAGCGATTGTGGTGATGATAAACAATTTTAGCAAAATAATTTGGTTTCAACAAAGTGTGCGCGGGCAACGAATATTATTTTTTTAGGAAACCAAAATTATTTGATTTAAAATGGGGTCGCATAATTTTTGTGACACTGTTATGGATAAATAATTTCAATATCATATACCTTTCAGTCTTTATGAGTTTCTCGAAAAGCGATTCATAATTTTTAGCAGCAATGATTGCAAAATTGCGTCATTTACTAACGACGTGTTGTGAGTGAACGTGATTAAAATGATGAGTCTATTATCAAAAGATCTAATTAGAAATATAAGTCTCCTCCTTTCAGAAGGCTATAAGGAGACGGTAGGCATCAGCAGGCGAGTGCACGGAACGGCGATAGAATGCGGCTCATCATCCTAGAAGACGCGAGCGTGGTAGCGGAGTGGGCAGCGCAGTTCGTGCTTCAGCGCATCAACGAGTTCGCGCCCGGCCCTGGCCGCCACTTCGTGCTGGGTCTGCCCACTGGCGGCACGCCACTCGGCATGTATCGTAAGCTCATCGAGTTTTACAAGGAGGGCCGCATCTCCTTCAAATATGTCACCACCTTCAACATGGACGAGTACGTCGGTTAGTATTACCTCTACCACACAGGCTCTAGGCATGGTTTAACGAGCTGCTTTCTGCAGTAGACTCGACGCTGTAACACCCGTTTTGCTAGGGTAGGCTGGTGCGGTATTAAGTAATGAATTGTTTTAAATTACAATCTATTGCAGGACTGCCTCGAGCTCATCCCGAGTCGTACCACTACTACATGTGGAACGAGTTCTTCAAGCACGTTGACATCGAGCCCGGCAATGCGCACGTGCTGGACGGCAACGCGTCCGACCTCATTGCTGAATGTGGCCGCTTCGAGGACCTCATCAAGCAGGCCGGAGGAGTGCATCTCTTCATCGGAGGTGGAAATACCGTTACGGCCATAAGCTTTGTACCACGTTCATCACGACGCCTGAACTAATCGTGTATGGGTAAACAAACATACCTTACAGTAGTCAAGCTTGTGACGTTGTCTGGGTGCAGGCATCGGTCCGGACGGGCATATCGCTTTCAACGAGCCGGGCTCGTCACTGGTTTCGCGCACACGCGTCAAGACGCTGGCTTACGACACGCTCGAGGCCAACAAGCGCTTCTTCGGCAACAACATCGCCAAAGTGCCCAAGCAGGCGCTCACCGTCGGCGTCGGGACGGTCATGGACGCCAAGGAGGTTACACCAAAATTCACTTCTTTTTGGTTCTTCGGTTTAACTTGTGCCACGTTTGTTGGGCATTACTCTTTATTTTACATTCTATTTGTAAGTAAAAACTGAAGCGAAATAATATTGTACCAATTATTTACTGCTTAAAAATAATTTTTAGAAAAAAATATTTTTAAGCAGTGCTGCAGGATCTGTAATTTGGTGAAAACATTTCAATTACAACAAGAGTTTTTCAGATTTGGTAGGTCCTCTGTTGAAAACTAACAGGTTAAGTTTAGGGCTTACATTTCTACTTGCTTCTTTACAAAACCGCATGCTTTATTTGCCGACCGACTTCGATTCCACGTCGTGAATAGGCATCTGTGTAATGGCGTGGCGCTGCGCAGGTTATGATCCTAATAACGGGTGCGCACAAGGCGCTGGCGCTGGCGAAGGCGGTGGAGGAGGGCGTCAACCACATGTGGACGGTGTCGGCTTTCCAGCAGCACCCGCAGTCGCTCTTCATCTGCGACGAGGACGCCACACTCGAGCTGCGCGTCAAGACCGTCAAGTACTTCAAGGTACACACACTTCCAATTTATTAAAATAAATAAATATAACTATTGGCGTCTATCCATTAGATTTTTTTATCAACTTCGAACTAGCACACATGTAGTGCAGACCGGCGCCGGCGCCGGCGAGGGCATGGCTTGGGCCTCGGGAGAATGCGCATGTACCAAATTTGCTTCATTTGGATTATATTCCGATATTACGCGGTGGAGATGATTTCAGAAGGTACGCCCGTTTGAATGTGGTGAGGCGGTCGGCGCCAATCGATAGGCAGAAAAGCTGAACGGGGAATGATGTATATCGCTGTCGATGCAGGCGCTGAGCGCGGAGCACCAGAAGCTGATCGCCGACACGCCCGTGCCGCTGCAGCGGCATCTGCACTAGCGCCGCCCCCCGCCCCCGCCGGCGCCCGAGCACGTTGTCTTTGTAGGTCGTTTCCACTGACCAGGTGCTCAAGGTCGACCAAGGCATTTTAAACTAGAAATAATCACTACGTACCCAAGGGCTCTCTTGTTGACGGTAACGGTCCGTTTTCTACAACGGACCGGTGCCCGTCGCCCAATTGCAGTGAACCACGCCAGTTTACATGAGTGTCTTCACGACCGACGCCCAGGACGGATAGACGATTCCGCATCCAAACTATAACTAAATTATGGATCTTGATATAGACATGGATTTATTCATTAATTACTTTATATAGTGGAAAATAGACCTGTGCTATGGGACAAAGCTACACAGTTATAAATATAAGCAGATTAATTTTACGGCATGGAAAGAAATCTGTACGATTTCAAAAGAGAGCTTCGAGACATTATCTGATCAATTTGCTTTTCTTTCTAGTCGACATTAGAAACGTGTACACTCACTTCTTGTTTAAAACTGAACAGATGTTAGGCACGGAAGCGTCTTCTTATTTTAATGAATCATTAACAAAGACGAACGTTGGGCGCCGGTCCGGTACCCGGAAAAAGAGCGACCGTCAACAAGATCCTTCGATTAACATCCCGGTGCTTTATTAACCCGTACCCATGTCGCTGCGCGTGCACAGAGCCTGATGGTGGAGCACAACAAGCTGATCGCCGGCGCGCAAGCATCCACGCATTCCAACAATAGGTAATACTAGGTATAGTACGCAAAGGTTATAATATTGTGATGTTGAAACTTTTTATACAGTTCATAAAAATAAAAATGATACAAATGGTTGCATTCGGTTTTATTTACATCAGTTTCCGCACCCCTTACTATTCCGCTAGACAGAAGCACTGCAGCGTCAGCAGTCCGGCGGCGCGGCCCCGGCGGCGCGGCAGGCGCGGGCCAGCAGGCCGGCCAGCTGCAGCGGCGAGCCCAGCCCGTCGGCGACGCGCAGCTGCGCGCGGCCCGCCTCCCGCGCCAGCGCCAGCCGCGCGTCCTCGCCGGCGTCCAGCGCCTTGCTCACGCGGAACACGTTGCTCAGCACGTCCTCGGCCGCGTAGCCCAGCTTGCTCAGCTTCGCCATCACCTGCGACGACGCGTCTCTGCTCGCAGCGGCCTCGCCTTCGCCGTTTCAGGCGGCGAAGGACGCGCGACGCACCTTGCAGGCGGCATGGATGTCCCGTTTCAAGCACGATTCCAGCATGCTCTTGATGAGCATGGGGTGCGGCTCGTCGCACACCTTGAAAACGTTGTCCGGGCTGACGTGGCCGAAGCCCTGCGCCGTCGACTGTAGGTTGTTCAGTGCGGAGCGTAGGTCGCCCTGTGCCGTGAATACCACTGCACTGACGCCCTCCTCGGTGTATGACAGGTTTTCCTTTTCGCAAACCTCTACTAGCTGGTAGTATCATAAAATGGATTCATTTCATTTAGCATTATATTTGAATAGAGTGTAGCTAGTGATGAAACAGACTTCAGTTATACTGAGAGACTTGATGACTCCAGTTTTTTTAGACGACTCTAAACTTGGTCATGCACACAGACATATATCTAGATAGACGCCGCAAGCGTAAGTACTTCGCGTGCCCAAAGTAAGCGAAATTCACTTACTTGCCGCTGCTACACTTCAGACCGCTCTCGATAACCGTCGAGCGCAGCGTAGATAAACACCAGTCGAAAACTCAAAAAATGCATAATTGTGCCATTATAAACTGCAAAAGCAACATAACTGCGGGTAAACGGGTAAACAGGGACGTTTCCTTCTATGGGCAAGTGATTTTGTATGAATTTCGAGAAAACAAATATGCAACTCAGTGTATGCCTCATGTTTGTAATACATTGCGGCTTTTACTTGGTGCCATATATTTGTGATCCTTTGTTAATACGCCATGAATATCGAATGAACGCACTTTTGCATAATGCATTGTTTCTGTGGTACGGCCTTTTTGACCAAATTTAACATTTAGTGATGTATACGTTAGGCAACACTGTTCTCGATTCTGATCGATTTTGAAAACAAAGGGACGAAAATTATTATGACCTTAGCAATATTATAAAAATATTCTATAACTCTTTTGTTACAACGTTTAGTACCGTTTCGTTTTTTTTTTTTCAGTTTTGTAATATCTATTATCAGTAGTATCTGTAATTTCGATAATTTTTACAGCACGTCGTCTCGAATGTCCGAATATAGTGAGCAAATAATTACAATTATTACTACTATTATTATTACTATTATTTAGTTATTACGAATAATACAAAAAAATATATAATGGAAAGAATTAACAGTGCGCTGTTTTTACAAAACCCTGGAGTTGGTCAAACGTATGAGTTCGTTGCTTTCGAGGACGAAGGTGGTGTAGTTTATCCCACCTAAGATGCTATCCAAATATGCAGAGTAGCAGAGTTAGAAATCCGAGAAATATAAACAAATAACAAAAATTTCACACGAGGCCGTCATTAAGTAAACCTTTTCTGATTAATAAGATGTTACCATATTTTGTCAGTAGTAACATTTTTATTTGTCTTGCCATTCACCAATTTGATAAATCACCGAATTTGATCAAACCATCTAGTAAATTTAATGAAGGCAGTTGCAAGTTCATACATTGACGTGTGTTTTCATTATTTAAGTCAATTGATAAGATCTACTACAAATAGACAGTTATATAATAAGCTTATATTATTTCAAGGACAATCATTTTAATATTTGAAGTTGATTAAAAATTATAGTTTAAATTATTATGTAATAAATTGTTTTTTAAAACAACTTGTAGTAAAGGACATAACTATCTTGTTTTGGTATTTTTCAAATGTTTTAATATTTCACGACTACTTGTAATCAACGAATACTTGAATCGATTAATTAAATGGAATACGTGTATTCCGTTCAATCAATCGATTTAGCGCGGAAGGATGTTTCCCATCACTAAATAGTTCTTGTGATGTCATGGTGGATACATAAAATGTGACACGCTCGGTTTTCATACAAATTGCTGTACTTGAGGAGTCTATCTAGATATATGTCTGTGGTCATGCATGTTATTCAATAACTCTAAAGCTAACATGTAATGGAGTTATACCTCTTTTATGTGTTATTGACCATGATATATAAATAAAAATGAAATAGTATTTTGTATATAAATCATGTTTGTTTATGACAAAAACTATTATATATTGAACCTTTTGGTGTACGTACAGTTATATACATGAGATACCTGACCCCTAATATGCCCAAACCGACCTTTTGGTTCTGAGAGCCATCTTACGTCTCGAACAAAGGAAAAATTAAAGCAATTTCCACTTTATTGTGTAAGCAATACAGTGGAGTGCTGCTTGAAGATAATCAACATATATTTAAAAACAATACTAAATTTCGTCATTTAACTTCCAAGTAAATTGGATGAGCGGCTTGTTGTATCAACTGCCAGTTACAAAACCCGTGTGGTTCAATTCCACAAGCACTGATTTGTTTTAACAATATATTTCTACAGCATTGTTTCACTTTTCAATGTTAACGTCGACAAATCACAATATTTATTCACTAGAAATTGCCTAAAGTAGATAGGCTAGATATTATTAATAAAGCGCAGGACGGGTATGGATATATTAACAAATCACGAAATCGCTCTGCAGTTTGCATACGATCTTGACTTATGTGATTGCGCATTGTTCCACGTTTCGTTCGTATTTGTCTATTCAGTTTTAATTACTTTCAAAGTTATTTTCGTGTTTTAATATACCGCACTTAACGGAATTATTAAAATTAGAAATTAATGTTCTGCATGAACAAGACTTGGACATACCTTACACCTATCCAGACGTTAAAAACAAAAAACAATATTTAATAGCCATAACCTTGTCATAGCTAAACAATATTTTATTTTTAAAGTGACTCGAACCATGCATGCCTCAATTTGCAAAGTAATCCTTATACCGTTTGGCCACGACGGCGTTACTAAAGCTGGTTGAAATTTATGTTCTGTATTTAAGTAAGAACCATATGTCAAAGATCAAATTCGCTTAAAAACTTTCTTAAAATGTCCTTCACTAATGAGACAACCAGGGAGTCATACCAAAATAAATTTTACGGCGTACGGGTTAAAGATTGAGTTTGTTTAACAATTTTCTTCACATTTTTGTGCTCAGAACCAAAAGGTCGACAAATTCGGCTTGAGGGGTCAGGTATCTTGTGCATATGACTGTAAGAAAACACATGTTCTAGCACACAACCTGGTAAAATTTGTTTAATGTCTGAGTATAGATAAATATACTTGATCGGAGGTGCCCAGAAATAGGGTGAGTGGACAAAGGTAGATAGTTATAATGATTATTCTGACTGATTAATTTCATAAAATAAAAATATTTTATTTCCTAATTGAATGATATATTTTTTGTTTGTAAATATACAGAAGTGCGTATTTGACCTCCATCTCACCTGGTGAAAAGTGGCGATGAGGGTGAAGATAGAGCATACACACCTAAATATTGCCTATTCAATCTTGCCTTGAAAAGTTGCAAGTCATAGTGTTCAGGAATAAAACAGCAGGTAGGGAATTCCACTCCATAGCTGTTTGCCATATAAATGTGGAAGCTTGGAGGAATCACTTTGTGTGTATCTTTGGAATATCCACAACATAGAGTTGGAACCCAGGCCTATGTCTAATCCCCCAGTAATGGAAAGGCGGAATTAAATAGTGTAATTTCTCGCACACTTTCCACAATATATCATGTAGAGAATGCCGATAACGGCGGTGTGTTCAAAGCTCTGCAGCTCATCTCTACTAATTCCGAGTCACAGTGTGTTCTTTTAGTCCTATAAGCCTTTTAAGTACTGACTTAGGTTTTTCTTCCTGGGGTTAAGAGACTTTGATTAAAATTAGTTGAAAGCTGGTAGTCATGAGGTGTTAAAAATTAGTCAAAGTTTTTTATAGGTCTACACAGGAGTGAGTCTCGTTTATCAGTAATTAATGTAAGTGTATGTGCAAAGAATGGTAGTATTGGTAAGACCTTAGCGAGTATTTGCGCGTCGGTGAGCCGCGAGTAGCGCAGCACGGCGCACCGCGACTGGATAGGCTCGATAATCTTCTCGCTGTTGTTCGCGGCGAGCGCGAACCGCGTCGTGCTCGAGTACAACTCCATAGTGCGTCGCAGCGCCTGTTGTGCGCCGTCCGTCATACTGTCAGCCTCATCCAGGATCACGATCTTGTGCCGCCCCGGTGGCAGCGTCACCTACGCACACCACAACGCATTACAGACATTGTTTATAAATTTACATCCACCTTTACCTTAAATTATAAAATATAATTATACCTTTTGCTGTGCAAACATCTTGATCTTGTTCCGGACAACGTCGATACCACGATCGTTGGAGGCGTTGAGCTCGAGCACGGCGTCGCGGAATGAGGCGCCTAGCAAAGCCCGCGCCAGGCACAGGATGGTGGTCGTCTTGCCGACGCCGGGTGGGCCTGCGATGATGATGTTTGGCGCGTTGCCGGTGCGCGCGAACACGGCCAGTCGCGACACGGTATCCTCGTTACCAACTATGTCCGTGAACGTCTGCGGGCGATACTTTTCAATCCATGGCAAATGTCCTATGGACTTTGTTGAACTCGAAGCAGTTTTTGGCTCTGGTTCATCGACTTCCATAATAGTACCTTCGTTGTCACTCATTTTGTCCAATTATTAAACGTTTTAAAAATTAGCAACTGTTACTTTTACATTGGATATATAAAGAAAACTGATTTTAAATCACTGAACACTACTCACAAGATTTGGTTGGATCTATCTTTCTAATTTCTAATTTGTATTTGGATACGCGCAACCGCGCACACAAAATAAAAAGATAATCGCACAAACTAATAAGAGATACTACGTATCAGACGAACCACTCCCCT